TAAACAACATACAATCATGATGTGTGAGCATATCATTACAATACATCATTAAAAAAAAATTGACATAATATTATAATTTATATTTTATAAATTTATAATACTCTTGTCGCACAATTATCAACAATAATGACTTGTCTTACAATTATCAACAGGAATGATGTTGTAAGCTTGGTGGTAAGATAAGAAGTTACGAACAATTTCAAGGTCATGAAATATTCTAGACTCATTAACATTGGCCGCCCGAGAATGTCGCTTCTATAATATCATTGAACCATAGATAATAAAAATATAGATAGATAAATATAGATAATAATAATATTATCTATGCATAGAACAGTAACATTTTAGTTGAGTTTTTCGCCGCTATTTTATTGGGCGCCTCGATCTGAACTTTATTAAGGTTATGTATAAAATTTAAAATATTTTAGCGGCAAACGAAAAATCATTAATATCACAATAAATAAATTAGTATTATCGTAATTAAAATTAGAAAACAAAAATATTATGTACAGAGTGATTCACCAACCATGCTCATACCCAATTTTACATTTTATAATGAAATCAAAAACTAACCTTATGAATAGATACTGTACGTCAAAAAAATATCAGAAAAATTATATACTGTACAATTATTTACAGTTGAAAAGGGGTGTTAATAGAAGTTCCCATCTCCTAAGAACACTCTTTAAGTAGTTATTTCACGAATTTTAAAATATGGTTTTATTACAAGTACAACAGTGCGATTCACCAAGCATGAACTGCATTTCTTTTTTTCAATAACGGAGTTATTTAAAATATCAACTTTTTTTGAATAACTACATTATTGAAAAAAAAAGGCATGAGTATGCTTGGTGAATCGCCCTGTACATATAAGAATAAAGAGCCGTAAATAGATATTCATTTGTAATTTGTACAGGTAGGTGATATAATATAAAAATACCACTGAATATATTATATATTATTTTTGAGGATAAACAATAAGAATATTTTTTTTTAATATTTAGCTTTCTACAATAATTTTGTTATAGGTACTTCAACGATTAATAAAACTATTGATTTATTATACATAAAATAATAACATGGGTAGGTAGGTACCTATTAGAAAATATTATATACATCAAACATTTATACCTTTTTTTACAAATAGTATTAGTACCACACTACTATACTCACTGCATTGGTTATTTCAACTAAATCTATGATCCAAATGATATTTCAGGTTATTTATGTAAACAATTGAGGTATTATACAAAAGACTGTGAAGTTTGTAAGACATCATTTATATCTCACCAAGGACATTCACAGCAAATTCAAGCAGCTTAATTAATCTGAAAACCCACGGACGATTAATACATCGTAATATAGCTTTCTTCTATTTTATCAAAAATATCGAACAACAATTTGAAAAACATTGTAATTCACCTTATATTTTTGATTTGATTTTAGAAGAGATAATTGAGTGAACACAAATTAAGTTTCCCATGTTCTACACATGCCATAGGTATTATTTCTTTTGTAGTTGTATATTATATACGTATGAGAATGAAACAGTTTTCCCAACAAGAAAATCACAAGAATAACAAATTTAATCGCAATAAAAAAAAATTGCAAAGTTATATTCTTCATAGGTAGTACATAACTTTATAACTTATGTCTTATACTGTATGTATGTAAAGTGTAAATATTAAAATTATAAAATATATAAAATGGTTAATTATTTAAGTAAATCATTATCATCAATTTATTTATTTATTTATTATTTGTGAACTTACTTATACTTAATTATTAATTAGTGTCTCAGTAACCAGGCTTTTTTTCAAAATTTGTCACATTTTCTACAACCTGACACCCTGCATTCATGCCGCTACTCAATTAGGCTTAGGCATTAGCGAAGGTAAGTTGGTAAATAGTAAAATTCAGAAAGTTGGAACAGAGGCGCTATGAAAATAGCGGATTAAATAAATACTAAAATGTCCTCTCTAAGCGGACACAATGATAAGTAAAGAGTCCCGACCTTATCTTCTAAGACCGTGGTCACAGCCACGATTTAAGATATACAAGTTGCCCATCGACCTATACCGAAATGTTTAAAAGTATGAAGATGAGATTGACTCACAGCTGTGGAAAACGACGCTAGCGCCCTCTACTATCACAATTTAAATCTCGAACTAATTATCAGTTTATCACACTTAATATTTAATAATTTGAATTTATGGTATATGGCCATATTGGTTAGGTAATGGGGATGGAATATTGGAATTATTATAGATTCTATTCCACGATTTAAGATACATATAAATATACTTTAAGTAGTTACTACTACTACTTAGTCGCAATCGCAAACAAAACTTTGTTATTTTGTATAAATCAAGAAAATAAAAAACAGTGCCGAACTAAAAAAAGTTGTCAAAATTAGTTAAATCATGATTAAAAAGGTAATAAGTAGCTAGTACTTAAGTGTAAAAAGTGTATAAATTAATTAGTTCATAAATAAATATATTGGTTGTTTTATATAGCTTGATAATTGTAATAAAATAATAAAATCTATATAACTTACATTATAATTTATAATATATTATTACTGTTATACTTGTACAGCTTGAAAGCAGACTTCAATAAAATCTTAAATGTTTGGAAAATAATATAAAATTTTAAAATTAAATTAGTAAAAAGAATAATTCTTTTGTAATCATTATTTATGACACAAAACTGAAAATAGAAAATTTAAAATTCAGCAGGCAACCGGCAGCGATACGGTAGTTAACTTTTATCTCACATGGAGCGCTTACTGTAATTTCCAGCACCACAATGAACTCAATTTGGTTCTCACCTTATCATATGCCGATGGGCAACCAGTATATCTTAAATCGTGGTCACAGCATAGACATATAAATATTTATATGTCTATGGGTCACAGCTCAAGATCTATAAAGATCTATAAAGAAGAGGTTAGCCAGTGTCTGGTAAAGAACTGATAACAACGGTGCGGGGTGGACTAGTCCACTTCTTTATAGATCTTGGTCACAACTATCCTCTTAGCAGTGTTGTCATTTCTGACGACATAAAATATGTTTATTTATTTATTTTATTATAATAATGTTATAACATAATTATTAGTGCTCGGGACTGCATTTGCAAATTTGCAAAACATTTGTTTGGAAAGTAAATACAATAAATCTGATCGTATATTCGTATGCGTAAAGCGTATTTGACTGTTAATGGTTTTACATAATTATTATCAGTCGACAGTTATTATCATACATGGCTTAAGATAAACCACAGTCATCTATACCACAGAATATATGAAATAATATATTATATATATATATATTTAAATATATTATATTATATAAATATTTCATATATTCTGTGGTGATGCTTTAAAAACTATTTGTGAATTGGCAGGAGTAGACAGACAAGTAATATGCTTGGAGCTAAAACAATTTGCTTCTCAATTTAAAAATGTCTTACTAGATTTATCTTCTAGTGATTTAAATTACAAAAATAATACAAATACTCAAACTGAATCATCTAATGATACTGATGAGAGGTAAAATGAAGTACACAAGTAACAAAAAACCTGATTGTAATAAATGCAGAAATTGTATTTATTGTGCTTTTGTAATAATTCAAGAATTATAATTTAAATCAAATCTATTTTGTAATTTATTTATAGTTTACAAATTTGTATTAATTTTACCATCTACTCGTACACAAGATTCGTGCGAGAGAGTTTTTTCAAAACTAAAGATTATAAAAACAAAATTACCATCAATTATAAAACAAGAAAATTTGGGTCCGTTAATGATTGTGGCTGTTGAAAAAGGTATAGAAATTGACCGAGAAATATTGATTGACACTGCGGCTCACTCATCAAATTTATTAAAAGAACTACTAACATAAATTGAACAATACAGCAATCTAGTTGTGTTAAGTTATTTAATTAATTTTTATGCATATCACATTTTGTGGTTACAATTATATATTGTATAAATATAGATATTGTTAACATTTTGAACATTTTTTACTACAGTGAAAGCTGTTAACAAAGAAGTTAAAGGGGTATTTTTGAGAGAAAAATTGCCTCATTGGCCCTTTAGATTCCAGGCCGACACTGAGTGCAAGTGTAATACAGTTTTCACTAAGTTTAAGTATAATATCTACTCTGAAATTGTATTTTTCGTATTCGTTGTTTTGAGCATAACGGAGACAATGTTGTATGACATAGACATTATCTGAAATTGAATGACATTTAGTTATTGTTATCAAACGATGGTTTTTAATTATTATAAACAAAACTATGTTGTACACTAGCGAAAACTTGAAGGTTGATTATCTTTTTCGGAGAAGCTTTTATCACAAAATTATTAGCATCATTCATCCGCATAGCCAATAATACCAATTTTTTAAATTTCAAATCCGTCTGGGTCCAATTGCAAGAGTATAAACTAAAATTTATCAATTCTCTCTGTATGAAAAAAGTATTATTAAACCAAGTCATTATACGTCAACAATTAGTATCTTTATTTCATTTACCTTTACGTTCATGTTGTCAAATAAATATGTATATATAAATAACTCCATACAAATATATAAAATGGTTGATCCCAGCTTGAAAAAAGTGAGGATCATATCCGGTTCCATTTTCAAATATAACTTTAATCATAATACAACGTAGATCAGAAGTTTAAATACGTTTTCAATGATTAATCAATTGGATACATAACGAAGGTATAGTATTTGCGTATATAAACACTATGCCTTTGGCCTAAGAATACATTTTGGGTGCACGAAAACATGTGGCTACAAATTTTGCAATAGATAATGTTATGATTTTATTTTTCTATCAATAATAAAACTTAATACACAATCCGTATACGTTAGCTCAATAAGTAAAATATGTGGCACCTATATAACAATTTACTTTTTTTTTCTGTCAGTCATCGTCTTCGATTTCGTCTCGGTCACTAATATTTACAAAATGGCTCTAATATTATATATTTTATCGAAAAAAGTTTTGATTTTGGACACATGAATATTATCTGTAGTGTTTAATAAGTTTAATATTATGGTAAATATTTTACAAATTATMATACCGTGATGAACCGGTACGTCGATATTATGATAGAAGATGAGTCGTATAAAACTGTCATTAACACGACATATTTCACAACCGAAAAAAATGATTTTATTTTCCTAAAAAAGAAAACATAATTAAATCATTCAACAGTTTGAGTATTTAGTTTATGACGTTTATGTTATCGGGTTTATCGCAAGGCTGGGCTTTAACAAGTTAAAAAGTTAAAGTTAAGTTACTTTTAACATAACGAGTTTCTTTTTTTTTCAAGCAACTTCTAACTAAACAGGTTAAGTAACTTATTTTTCATATTATAAATTTCATAGATTTAAAATCATATTTTGATTTTTAAAACTTATTTATAATATATATGTGGTAGTGATGAAATATTATCAACATTATATCATATAATATGAGTGTTTAGCGTTATTTTTATATTTGAAATGTCAATAGGTATTGACATTATAAACATTATAAATATAACTGTATCCAATAATTATGTGTTTAATTTATTTAAATAACCCAAATACAAATTTAATAATCACAGTTTACAAATTTAGTGGGAATCAACAAAAAAAAAATTTAAGTTAAGCCATTATTTTGGAAAACTTGTCATTAAATAAAATACATTGCAATAATCTATTTGTTTTGTTTGATTTTAAAATTGATTGACGAATGTAAGTATAACTTACTAATATTACCTATTATAATTATAAATTAATACAATTACGTATTATATTTTTTAAAAGACTAAGACTTCCACTATTATGTTATATAAAAATGTATGATATTATTTTTTAATAAGTTAAGTTATTTTTTGTTTCAAATTAACTTTTAACTTTTAACTGTTAAAATTTAACTGTTAACTGAACTTAAATTTTTCAGGATTAACTTAACTAAACGAGTTAACATAATTAGTCAACTTGCCCAGCCTTGGTTTGACGTCTTGATTCACATACACACAACTACTAAAAAATATAAATCTATAAAAAAAAAAAGTATTTGAGTCAAAATTTACACGGTACGAAGATAAAAACCATTATCGTTTTCTTATTTTTTTCCCATAAGAACAACATAATTATGTAATATGTAGGTATATTGTATATATAAAATGTATACAATACGACAATGTATACAAATATACTTACATATTAAGTTGCAATTGATCATGTAATATTGCCTTAAAATCTTCAAGACGATCTGTAATCAGATTATACAACAATAAACTACCTAGTTATAATCAGTGTTTGATTTGAGAGGTGGGTGGGAGAGATTAGAGCCCTTTTTCTCTTTGTTTTTGAGCGTAGTTACCAGCTTTTTAAATTCAATGGAATCCGAATAATGGGAACGCAATATTTACAAATTATTTACAAAATTGTCAGTATTTCTGATACCTATATTATAATAATAACTTTATTTTTGCCTTGTACATACTTGCAAAAAATGAATAAATTACTAAAATATTGATGAAATTGTTTAATAAAACACAATAAAAAATCAATATGTCAGTTCATGACAGTTTCATGTACTACAGCAGTGCTACTTTTAAGTTCTGACAAAGAATCATGAAATTATTCAGTTATCAGTCGTTGCTTCGTTAGTAATTTATAAATAAGTGTATTATCTTGTATTTTATGATACATATATCTGTAAAAACATTTAATATTGTTTTGGTGTGATTTTTTATGATATATGGGATTGAGGATGATACCGATGTCCCACTATGATGTGGCAGCTAATTTTGTGTGGTACGCTTTTTAATCTAACACCCACTGATTCAAACTAAACGATGGTAATATTTAATGTTTGAATTTAAAAACATTTTACGAGAGACTAACTTGTTTTAGGATTGTCATCGTGTCCAAAGTTCTTAAGCGCCTGAATGAGGACATTCTGTTGAGATATTATAGCTGTACTAAATGATATAAATAACAAGTCTGTCATAATGTAACAGTACACTGCAATGGTTGAAGTTAAATTTTCCATTAAGTAAAATATAACATAATACTGATTGTAAGTAGCCGTTGATGTAGAATAATTTAAGTTCATGACATTCTGTAAACGAGCATTTGAATTTTCTGATTTTGTTGACAAATTCATCACAATTGGGATAAATAACCATTGTATTAAGATCACTAATGAGATCATTGTATAACAGTTTGTAAATATCCTTAATTTATTACAATCACTGTAAAGAATATGTTTATAATCATTACACTGTTTACTTCTGAACAAATCAAATCGCGTAACGTTTAATACAGCTGATATTTTTTTCGCGTTATAGATGTATGAAATCATCCTTAAACAGCCTATTTGCAAACTTATTATCAAAAAAACAGTCATATAATAGTCAATTTTGTCGACATCTTCATTCACGAAAAATAATCCCAAACATCCGTGAATAAGAAAAAACTGTACTATCCCAACTCCCACAGTATAATAAATCTGGTGAAGCTTCAATCCGAAAATCTCTCTTTCATTAGGATCAAAAATCTGGTAGAAATGACACCGTTTAAATAGTTTCAAGTTAATAACTACTTCTGCCTCTTTTAGCGTATTCATTGGATAAGAAAGGTTTTATCTGTAAAAAATATATATAATAGCAATATTAATAAAAGAAATTATGTTATTTTGTGATTAATTTAAAACATTTAAAATGTTCGAAAGTGTTTATTATTATCATTTTTTTTTTTTTAATAAATTAGATTAAAATTATGTATGCTTGTTCAATAAAAATGAAAATTTTAAAACGTCCGAAAAAATTAACAGAAGAATTATGTCTAGCAATCGCGTATACTTTGCCGATATCTCGATATCTCACTCTTTAGGTCAAAGTGACAAAGTTGTGATCGAAAGCCACAAAGATGAAGTTATATAAAACTCTTATGAAGCTGGTATTGTGCTATGGACCCGAAACTTATACAGACTCAAATGCGGATAACAACAAATTAAAAATATTTGAAAAAAAATTAGTTAGGAAAATATTTGTTGTCATGTTTGAACAATTCTTAGAAAAATAAAATAGAATAAGATTTATTATAGTAGGAAGCAGTGGCGGATTTGAGGGGAGGTGACGTGGCGATTACCTCTCCCTAGGGAATTTTTTTTACTTAAACTATAGCACCGTATGATAAAAAAAAATATGAAATTCATAAGTCATAACTAATAACTTTAACATTAAACTCATGAATAAATGATACAAAAAAAGGTATTTTTTTTAATATGAAAATTGGAAATGTGTATTCGGCTACGTCTTTGTTACTACCTATCAATCTATGATACCAATTCGCCCCCGCCTYAAATGATCTTCAGATCCGCTACTGGTAGGAATAATAATATGGTTAGGTTTATGGCTTATTCTAACATATAGTAGGACCCAAATTGGGTAGTGGGAAAAATCAAAAGGCAGTAGTTGACCTTATGAATATGGGCACCTTGCTAAAGTATAATTTTTCTTATATTATAATTGAATCTAATGAATTTCTATTTCTACTCAGTATTTTGAATTCGTGTAATTTATAAACTCAACCTAGTATGTAATAATTATGTAATTGTACAATGTTATAGTGCCTTTACAGCCTTTATAGTATGTGATAAACATTTAACATCAATCATCATATTAATTAATATAAGAAAACTTACGTACCTTATTTTTTAACAGTTCTATATGAAATTAAAGATATTGTTAATAAGAACTCGTGTTTGTATCTCTTCGAGTTTACTTTTCAAAATGTTCACGAATCGAGTCAACTAATTTCAATAGGTAGYTATAATATTATGGCTTATTGATAATGTACTTAAGTTTAATATTTAATTTTGAATCCATATTAAGTCATTCCAATTGTATTAAAATTATAATTTTCGAAATACCATGAAATTTTAAATATATTTAAACTAATTTCAGAAATTTAAAATGTTCGAAAGTGTTTAGTTTTATTATTATTATTTTTTTTTTTTAATAAATTAGATTAAAATTATGCATAATAGTTCAATAAAAATAAAAATTTAAAAAAATATTTCGGAACAATAGTTTATTACAAAGTTAATAGTTTAATTATGGCAATTAAAAATATCGAAAATAAATAAGCACATATTTACAATTTGAAATGGTTATAATGAAAATTCTACCATATATTTTTTAAGTAAAACTTCTTGTAATCAAAGAATTTCTGGATGATAACTACGGAAATATCCACCAACTTAAAATAATTAAAGATGCGCGTTATCGTGCTAACTCGTCGCTATTATAGTGCCTTTACAGCATTTATGGTATGTGATAAACAGCAATCCTCATTATAATTATTATTAGAAAACTTACTGCCTTACCGATTTATGAACAGTTCTGTATGAAATTAAAGATATTGTTAATAAGAAACTCGTGTTTGTTTCTCTTCAAATTTACTTTTCAAAATGTTCATGAATCGAGTCAACTAATTCAGTAGGTAGCTATACTATTAATAATGTACTTAAGTTTAATATTTATATTTGAATCCATATTAAAATAAATCAATAGTATTAATAATTTGTTGGTAAATTCATTAAAATATTAATTGTATAATAACATATA